TAGAAGATGACCAAATTATAGAAAGGAAAACCGCCCATAATGTGGACAAGACAACTTTTGAAACAAATTTTTAGTATTCGTGTTGTCATTGTATTACTTGTAATCGAAATGGCGTCGCGCAGTAAACGCTCTAAGGTGGATTTCAGTAGACAAAAGGCTTAGAATAACTAAGACAAAAGGTTATATTATTAAAACATAAAAATTACTTTTACCTACCCTCCCGAAAAGGACTAACCCGATTTATGACACACTGTTTATGGAACTAAATAAAGAAAAATTGCTCAATCATTTTTGAAGATGATGTTCGATCATATGCAGAAGAAAGAAAAAGTGAAAAATTGCTTAAATTAGAGCCCGAATTATCTCAGAGTTCGACGTCTCGCAATGGAAGTTCGGAAGATGATTGCGAAAATACGTTTTCAATATTTATAGACACCTACCAGTGGCGAAAATTGAACCAGTAATATATCACTATACACGAAATGATGTTACTATGCCTCATGCAACTTATAAACCAACCAAAAAATTACAAAAACAGAATGGACAGGTGTTCTTCGGGAAGAAATATGGAAACGTTATAAAAACCAATGTAGATGGATTTTTAAAAGCAATTGTAAATTGTGCGATGCACACATAATTATTCGTCATAATGCGACCTGCTTATCAACAGAGAACTACATAGAAATGAAATGTAGTTTACTAAATTCTAACTCCAATATAAAGCACGATAAAAACGTTAAAGTGAAACTCACGAAGAGCAAAAAGCAACAGTTAGCTAAGATGTTAACAAAAAACAAACCTTCGAAATTTGTTAGCAGACCAGTACATGAAAGCAGGCGAAATCGAACCTCCTATCATCCCTAAATTAAATACATTATAACAAATCAGGCATCAAACAAAACACGCAAATTTTCTTCATCCTTCACCAACGCTTTCTTTGTGGTGCATGGTATTTACACCACCATACAATGAAATTATTCGTAAAATTTGTTTACGTCCTTTTTATCTTTTATATTGGATCAATGAACAAAGTATATTTTATGAGACATATTCTAAAATTAATAAATATGTGAAAGTGTCAATAGACGCTACAAGATCAATTTGAAAGAAAAATTTATTGCCAGCCGCAAATATTTACACATTAAACGTGAACAAACAGAAAAAACACATTTTTTTGTATGTGATGATGGGTTTCAGAACAGAAGGAAGTAGTGTTCCTTTATGTCAAATGTTGTCGGAGGTTCAA